ACAGGTTTGACTGTTGTTTTATTTTCAGATACCGACACTTTTGTTTTCGCCAATGCGACTGAAAAGCTCTTGGCTGGTAAGTCCAGGGTTCTTCGTGGCCTCTCATTTAAGTCGTGACATGAGACGACGTGAAATAACCCTCGCTTGCCTTTATCTTCCCCTACTTGTGTAGGGTCGGCAGTGAACTTTTTCACTGTTTGATGCCAGCTCCCTATCATTTTATAAATCTAGGGTAGATTTACCTTTTGAGAGTTCTGAGGTGATAGTTTTCTTTTCAGCATCACTTAAACTGCTTTTACGGCCCATCTTTTCACTAAATTTTTATACTTTTCTAATAATTTGGCACGCTCAAATCACCGTGCTGATAACAAATATGGTGCCAGTTTGTTTACATTGCGCAGGTCAGTACGAACATTTCAGTGATTACGCAGATTAGTGTTGCCAATACGAATTGATTGAACGGTTTTTGAAATATTAGAAAAAAAGTTATCTCGAATTTGGCACGCAGTGTATATATATATATATATATATATATATATATATATATATATATATGAAAGTGTATATAAATATAAATAAATATATATATGTATAATTATTTATATATTATATGCACAGTACTTATAAAGCGCTCAATATATATATATATCAACCAAATATATATATATATATATATATATATATATATATATATATATATATATATATATATAATTTCTTATACTTATAAGACTATTACTAGTATATATATATATATATATATATATATATATATATATATATATATATATTAATTTTATAAGTATAAGAAAAATCCGGTGTCTTCATTTGCAAATAATCAAACCAATACCAAAAGGAAAAAGGTATGTATAAAAAAAAGAAAGAACAAAGAACATGTACGTTATCCGAAAATTAGCATCCAAGTCCAAAGTAGAAAGAAAAAAAAAAACCGATACGAGTAAGAAAAAATAAATAAATAAAGTGCTCAATAGGGTAAATAGAGCAGACATAGTTAAACCTAGAGAGCCAGACATGTTTCACCTAAGCGGATGGTCAGGGAAGCCAGCCTTTTGAGGTGAAACCTTGGTAAGTTTGTTCATCTGGCTCTCTATATATATATATATATATATATATATATATATATATATATATATATATATATATATTGCATTCTCCCGTTTTCGATGTATGAGAGTCAGTAGCTCAGTTCTTAAATTTGAAAAGCCAGACCATTTATTTATAGTGGCGAAGGCTTGTTGTTTAGCACCAACCACACTTTTTGGAACAGCCGAACGCAGAGAACTGGTATTGAGGGGTTTTTATTTTTATTCAGACATGTTTTTCTGCTAAAGTCTTTGCCACCCAACGCTATAGGATCCGGTTTATCCTGCTATTTAACCCATAGATCGGAGGATGAGTTCATATCATTTAAATGGTAAATGAATACAGTGATGGCACAGCGGATTAATAGATAGCGACGATGACTGAGAAATCCAAGCCGTGTTCGAATTACGGTCGTATTCTATATATATATATATATATATATATATATATATATATATATTATATATATATTCTATATATATATATATATATATATATATAATCAATTCATCAGACTTACAAATTCAATAAGATTTTTGAATTGCTAGTCTGATGAATTAATCGTGATTACGATTCAATGTAATAAATTATAACCATGAAAATTAGTGTTTGAGCCTTTTATATATATATATATATATATATATATATTTATATATATACACACACCATCGAAATCCTGCTTTAATAAATTTCATCTGTCAAATTGGCTTTGACGCCCGCAGCAAAGCTGGGCTCCATCACTTAAGAAAGTACAAATGAAATGTCTTTCCGGTACCTGATTTTCTCCACAATACCACCCCACCCATGCTAGCAAGCATAAGTGTAAAATGAAATATATATATATCACGTATAAGAGCAAAATTGACCAAATTGTGTAACAGGAAAATTGTGCATTTGTTAGGTTAAACTTTGAACCTATCTTTTGAATATTCCGAGCTTTTTTGGACTCTACTTTGAGCAATAAGAATGTATAATTAATCTCCAAGCTTAACAGAAAATATATATATACGTATGTATATATATATATATCTTATTCCATGATCATTTTTAAACTTATTCAAGATGATCTTCGCCCTCTGTAACCATCTAACTTTTTGTGCTTGAGTAACAAGGTGCTTCACAGGTTTCACGTACGATTTCATTTTCAAGTCTTTTTTTCACTGCTCTCTCACGTGTCAAAAGTCTTATGGAATTACATTGTTCAGACTGTTATCCCCATCTTCGTTGCCATATTCACGATGCTTCGATCGTTGTACGCTACGGCCTAAAAAGTTCGCTTCGAAAGTTCACTCAACTGAAGAATGCCGGAGCGTAAAACGATCGTAATATGGCAACGAAGAAGAGGACAACTGTCCAAATAATGTAAATAGTGTAAATAATTACAATACCTCAGAAATATAGACATATAGTGTTTGTTTGTTTGTTGTTTTTTTGTTTTTTTTTGTTTTTTAATTACTGAAAATTACAATCTAGTTGTGTTTTCCCTCACTGGCTGTTAGAGCTAGTTTAGAAATTAACTTCCAGATTCTGGCCACTTAGATTTTTCGAGGTACAATCATAAATTGTGATATCGTTTGCATAGATCGTTACATTAATGTAGAAAGATTGGCGAGCTTTGTTATACGCATGCGCTTCGGACGACTGATCATTAATAACAAGCTACAAATCTCATCATCAGGTCATCAGGCCAAGAATTCTTCTCGGATTCTCTTGACATGTTGCCACCAACTATCGCTGTCAGACATCGACGTCGGCATGTCCTCTAGATGACATCCACCGTCATCTACAAGTTGGTCAATGAAGGTGTGATGAGGTCTTCGAGCCGATCTTTTGCTGCGCAATGGGTTCCCTAGAAGTGTGTCGCTCACAAGTTCTGCTTTACTTCTCCAAGAGTGACCAGCTAGCCGAAGCCTTCTCTCCATTAAAGAGTTAGAAGGAAGGTGGCCATAAAAACGTTTCTTTTTTGGGTGCTTCTTCCAGCTGATGTCCAATGCAACTTGTAACATTCTTGTGTGTGTTCCCTTCAGTGATGTTTCTTGTTGTTTCATCAATGTCCATGTTGAGCCGTAAAGCAAGACAGATTCTACAGTGGCCTTAAAGAGGTCCCTCTTAAGTCTTTTAGGTCTGAAGTTCCTCTTAAGATTGTTTTTTTTTGGGGGGGGGTCCATGCAGAGGGGTAGTACATTTTCGAGATGGCCTTTCATGGCATCTTTGACCGGTTGTTTCGTCAGAAAAAACGTAGCAGCTTCGTAATATCTATAGTAGCAGCGCACATAGGTGTCATTAGCCATTGAAAGATTCAAATAAAAGTCCCTAAAAATGATTTTAAATAATTTTTTAGACGGCAATTTATCCATCGCACTCTGTATATCTGTTCATATATAACCTAGTCAAATCAAAATATTCATAAGGATAACATGCATGTCACTAAATCCATTCAGAAATATCTAAACTGTCAGCTGTTTACAACTGCTTTCTCAGATCATTGGTTTATATATATATATATATATATATATATATATATATATATATATATATATATATATATATATTGAATTTGTAGGTCTATTGAATTGGATCGTATTTACGATTCCAATGGAATAAATTATGACCATGGAATATTAGTGTTTAAGCCTTTTATTATATCCTTACTCTGTCCTGGACATTGAGTTCTACTTGGATTCTATCCTCTTGGATTTTTTATTCAAAAAAATATATGTATGTGTATGCATCTATGTATATATATTTATATATTTTGCATATTTATGTGTATATTTACCACTAATATTAATATATATATATATATATATATATATATATATATATATATATATATATATATATATGAATATATATATATTTGGTTGGATTGATGTTAGGTCTATCTCTGATATTGAGCGCTTTATAATAAGTACCATATAATATATAATATATATATATATATATATATATATATATATATATATATATATATATATATATATATATATTTTATATACACACATTTTTCACACACACACACACGCACACACACACACACACACATATATATATATATATATATATATATATATATATATATATCAGGTCGAGAATACCTTTCCTGGCATCTTCTGTGGTCCCCATGCACCCACCACTATGTGATGTGTCTCAAAGCACTTTTGTGCAGCTACAATCCATAGTTAGTCTCTCTATAGTGAATGACCATTCATGCGTGGCAAAGAGTCACACCCTTTATGAGGTGACACTGTTAACATGCATGGGTATAGACAGAACACAGTGTATCTAGAGGAGTCTAACCTCGATTAAAAATCCCTCTATTCTTTACAGGTAGTTGTAGTTACTGTGCCAATCATCAACAAACGGCTGTTTCGTCAGAAAGAACGTAGCAGCTTCATGGAAGATCATCTTGCATGACAAACGGAAGATGCATTGCCCCAGCTACTGGAGAACCATAATAAAATCTATAGTAATGGCACACATAGATGTCCTTAGCCATTGAAAGATTCAAATGACAAGAACTACGTTATAATGTCTTAACAGCTGTGAGGACACTTCCAGAGATTCTATAGGTGGAGAATTTGTGTCACAACATCCTATGCCACATCTTGTCAAAGGCCTTTGACAGATATGAGATGATATCTCTCGTCACTGATTCTTTTTACTGAGTGATTCGTTTTTTTACGGTTTATCAACCTATAGCAAGTTATTTAAAGCCAGAAAATAGTTTTAGAGTATAAGAATTTTTTGAGATGATAATGATACATATTCTTAATAATTAACCCATGGCTGGGGGGGAGTGTTATTTGCACGTAAGTAAATATAACGAACTCGACTGGAATTGGAACTCGGCTCCCCGATAATTAATTAGGCATTATACCAGCCGTATATCTAAGCTTACAATATCTGGTATTTCCAAGCGGTCACTCATCTAGGCAGTGACCAGGCTCGACGTTGCTTAACTTCGGTGATCGTACGGGAACAGGAAGTTCAATTTGATATGTCCGGGAAGCCCTCACTCATCTTATCTGTAATATAACTTAATATACACACTGACGATACTTTATTTTTATATATATATATATATATATATATATATATATATATATATATATATATATATATATATATATATATATATATATATATATATATATATATATAGAGAGAGAGAGAGAGAGAGAGATAAGAGTGGGGGGAGAGAAACATAAAGAGTTTGTATATAGAAAAAAGTAGATATAAGTTTTTAAATTTAAAAGAATATGATAGAGATACAGACAGACTGACAGAAATAGAGAGAGGGGAATCAGAGATATATATATATATATATATATATATATATATATAGAGAGAGAGAGAGAGATAGATAGAGAGAGAGGGGAGAAAGAAAGAGATCGATTAAAAAGAATAAGCTAAATAGATAGAAGTGCAGATTGTACTCGTATATATATATATATATATATATATGCCAACCTGAAAGGGCTGGTTGGATTTCATCTATTTAATAGTAATATTGTCCTTCTGATTACCCTTTTTGTTCTCGCTCATTAGTTATGTTCCTGTTTCTAATTCTTCTACACCACGTAAACCCTTGTGTCTTAGTGGCTTTATTGCCTTACTTGCGATGAATTCGATTAAAAACTACACTAATAATATAATACATAGCATAATATTATGGAATACCAACTAAAATATATCTGTATCGTTTCCTAATTATTCCAAATATAAAGCGTTTACTAAGAAAATCTACATTATGAAATGGAATCCCACGTGGATGCTTCCCAAAATACTACAATCTTAACTTCTTCGAGTTAACGGTAAATCTTTATCTATCTTTCTTATCTTCATAATCTTCGTTTCCTACCCCTCCTCTTTCTGAAGGATACATCTCAGTCATCATAACCCTTTTAACAGTAATTCTCTACAGTTTTTTTTTTTGTTTTTTTTTTAAGGATTTCACCCCAAGCAAGACGGGAGTGCCACTAACACGCAAGGGGTTACAGAGAGTGAGAGAGCAAGAGTAAAGAGGTGTGTTTGAGGAAAGGGCGGGGATTAAGATCAAGACATCAGAAGATGTCGATTGACATTACATTTGAAGATTATAGCTATCAGGGAAGAAAGTAAGAGGAAGGGAGTTCCACTGTCGGGAAGTGTGGGAGAAGAAGCTGCTTGAATAGAAGAGGCGGCTACATTTAACTCTTTCGACATTAAAAGGTGTGGGACCGAGATGCTAACCTAGTAGCACGCTTAAATTCGTGTTTTGGGGGGGACAATCGACAGTATCTCGTTAAAGCAGCTGCCATGAAAATATTTGCGTCTCTCGAGGTTTGTAAACTTTAGTTTAAAATATAAACTCAATAAATGTCTAAAACTGCACTTCTAATACATTAGGATTATTTAAAGTGCTATAGTAAGGCTTTCAAATGAGAACCAACTTTTGGAATCGAAAGAAACAAAATACGATACAAGTGAATTATGCGAAGAGAAAAACCAAATCAACAGTAAGAAAATGAAATTTTCAAGATTTTGTTTGGAAAGGAAACGCAATCCAGTTACCTGATGCTCAGAAAACATCGTTCTATACAAACTTCCTTATTTAAAATTAAGATGGCGTCAGTCGTTTAACTATGAGAATCTCGCACGTGTATTACACGATGGCCTCTTATGTGCCTCATACGCTGAATGAAATTGTGTTTCCGGTTACGAGGTGTTATCTTAATGTCGCTGGCTTATACTTGCTTATTATTCAACGGGAATGCGCATGCGTCTAATTCTCAAGTTTCGTGATATCTACTCCTCTTCGGCGTGTTTGTTTTTGCTTTTAATATTGTGTTACAATGTCTCTGCGATCTTAATGGTGGTTTTACTTGAAACACGTCAAGATTTTCTACGGATACTCTTGAAAGTCATCATCAGTCTTTCGGGGAATATTCTTTGAATCTAACACCGGCATTTTTAGGGTACACGGGTTTTAATGTCGTCCAAGATTATGAGTGTCGAAACTGGCAAATTACAAGCAAAACGCCTGGAAATAAGACAATAAATGTGAACTAACAAAAAGACTGTGTTTACTTTGGTTGGACGTCCTGGGTATGACGATAAACTACATCCGACAATAAGGCATCTGATCGAGAGATTGGAGCGTGTATGCAATTCTTAACTGTTGTGTTTCCCTGGTTGATTTTAGGGGTTGTAGCAAGTGTTTCAAAAAATCAACAGGTCATTTTCATAGTAAAATGATCAACGATACATTTCATAGTAAAACGACAATTAATACAGCAGTAAAAAAAAGTATGAAAAAACAATCAATACATTTTATGAAAAAATTACCAACAATACATTTCTGTAGTGAAATTACCAGAAATGCAGTTTATTATCTAGAAACTATATTTCTAAAAAAAAAAAAACTTTTATCCTGAAAGTATAAAATTATGTACAAAATATTTTCATTTCGGCATTAAATAACCCATAGAGGTGTTGATATGCCGCTAAACTAAATCAACCAGCCAACCAATCATTTGGTTGGAATGAGCTATGAAGTTTGTAAAATGCTAATCTCAAAATTTTCAGAAAGTCACCTCGTATTTTTTGTAAACACATTGTCTGAAGGTCCTTGATAAAATCCAAAGACGGATATGCAATGTAATTGGCATCTCGTCCGCAGTCGCTCTCTCACTGACGTGCCGTTGCCGCCTTCTGTCTTTTTTTTTTACAAATACTTTCATGGTAACTGCTCCAATGAGCTGCTTTCGCTGGTTCCCAGACTTCATGAATTTAAGCGTTCAACTCGGCTGGCATCTCGCTCTCATCCTTTCACTGTCGAAACTGTTAAATGTAGCCGTCTCTTCTACTCCAATAGCTTTATGTCTCGCACTTCTCGCCTGTGGAACGCCCTCCCCATTTCTTGTTTTCCTGATAGCTATAATCGCCAACTATTCAAATGTAACGTCAATCGACGTCTCCAGATGCCCTGATCTATTCCCTGGCAGTCTCTTCATCCTTTCCTTTATCATTCCTCTTTGTTCTCGCTCCTACTCTGAATTCCCTTGCGTGCTAGTGGCTTCCCGCCTTGCTTGGTGTTGAAAAAAAAAAACACCTTTAGACGTATTTTTCCTTTCTTCTCCTTAAAAGACGACAGTCATTTTGGAGGTATTATTTTAGAATATCAAATTAAAAATTCCTTCAAATTTGACGGCAGTTCAAGATAAATGTTTTCCGTGCAGTAGAGTTCGCAATCAATAAGATCTAGTAATATTTATTCAAGGTAATGTTCATTCTACAAAGCTGGTTATCGTACCCTGCCAGAGTCATCAAATCGATGAAATGCCCTCCCCCAGGCTCTCGAGATATAAATCCAATAGAAAACGGGAGATCCATAATTACAAGAAATGTTCAAGAAAATGGAATACAAAATATAAGGAAAAGACTGCCGTGAGAAATGTTAAATTAGAAAAAGATAACAAAATCAATCGCTAAAAGATTAAAAGTTACACAAGGTTAATGGGTAATAGTTTATATCTTTTAAATTTATTTCTGAACAGAAATTTATGCAGCACTTTGTATGATAAACCCAGACAACCGACATAACATGTTTTAGCTAATATCATTTTTTAATAACGAAAAATATTATCAAATGAAACTCACAGAATATATTGTTCATATAAATTTAAGTAGATATACATTGAATGTTTGTAATATAAAGAAGATACGGTCGAGTAATGGATTCGGATGAAGGAATCGGAGATCCAGTCGGATCCATGACATTCACTTACGTCCCTAGTGAAATCCTTTTCTTCTCCCCCAAACTATGGGTAAATAGCAGGGCGGGCTGGGTTCTATAGCTTTGAATGGCAACTGGTCTAGAAGGACAACTTTGAATTCAAAATCTGCGGAGGATCTTTTGAGGACATTGTGGCCCGTTATGCACCAGATCTCTATAATCGACTCTTCAAAAAGTGTGATTGGTTCTGCACAAAGTCTTCACTACTGTAACCAGAGCATATGTGCAAGCGTCTGGTTGTCGAGTCTTAGGAACTGAATTGCTTGACCCTCATACGTCGGAAAACCGACGGGAGCGTCCAGTATATATATATATATATATATATATATATATAAAGAAAGAACAGTAAGATATATAATCCGGTGTTCTTATAGATATTTTTATTTTTACAAAATAGTGTTCAATGGAAATTTACAGAGCATTAGTATTATAATTTAATTGATTTAAAATATGATTTTTTTTCGCTACACAGTTCTAACCATGTTTCAAAAATGGAAGCTAAAAGCTTGGAATTTAATTTTGTAATTAAATTAAACACATATTAAATTAAAAAACATATTTTAAATCAATTAATTTATAATATATATATATATATGTGTGTGTGTGTGTGTGGGTGTGTGTGTATTGTCAAAGAATCAATGGATATTTATTTTAATCCGACATTTTAGTTATCTTATTATTAGTGGATACAAGTATTTTAAATAGACGTCCTATATTTTACTTTAAACAGTGGGTATTTCGTCTATGGACGAAATGTTAATAATGAAAGTGTTCACCGGCAGGAATTGAACCTGCATCCCACGTTCTGTAGAAGAAGCCAGCGATTGATACGATGTTGTTTACCGCTCGTCAACGAAAAGCTTCAGAATATAGCGAGGCTCAGTTTTCTATTAGTAGAAACCTTCAAAATGAAAATAGAGCCTTTCTCTCCAGTGACGATATTTATAGTCGAGCAGTGAATTTCACGAGTTCAAGCGGTGGTTTCACCCACTTAAAACGAGGGTCGCAGGCTCGATTCCTGTCCGAGAAATCAATTCGAAAAATCAACTTTGACTTGGGTCGGACGCAGTGAAGTAATTCTAGTGTGGGTCAATTTATTGCTTAATGACAACCGAAAACTGATCACCTTCTTTATGTCCAGTCTTGATCACTAATCACGTACCCTCTAGGGTCTAAGGAGGACAATATCTACTGTAGCCATAACAACAGTGGTCCTAGGCAGGTCA